TGTAGAACAGAACTGAGACGTATGCATGATTATTAGAATTAGGGTAGGAGGCAAGAGGTGTGGGTTGTGCGCAACAGGCTCGTGGGGTGGAGGTAGGAGAGGAATGGTACATGGACACGTGGCCCAGCTCATTGCTGAGAGATGACTCCTCCTCACCAGCTGGCTCTCAGGGAGATAGTGTGGTTCCTACACTAGCTACTGGAGAAAGGACTAAGCCTGGCCTCTCTTGGGCAAAGGGAGCTTGTAGAGGAAGCCTGGAAACAAGCAGGCTGCATCCGTGAAGATGAGACCTGGGAGCAGGCGGTCCTACTTTGGCCCTGCCTACTTGTGGTCCTGTGCCTAGCTATACCGATAAACAACCGTGGTTTCCTGTAGTCTCCAATTCTGGAGTCTTAGAAGCTACAAACCACCAGGGATTTAAAAAGAGTGAATAAATGTGAATATTAGTTTCTGTGACCGCACCACACACGGGGCTTCCTCAGTCAGGGTTCAACACAGAAAACAGTGTCCTTACGGAATACCCAGGGAAATAATGATTGTGGGGCTGGTTGGGAAGTCATTAACGGAGATGGAATTCTGAAGATGTTATCCACAGGCAGATTTTCTTCTTCTAAAGGGAAAACTCAGTCTTGATTTTAAGGCCTTTCAACTTTTCGTCAAGCCTATTCTGATTATGTAGCTATCCCCCCTTACTTTAAGTCAACTGATGATGGACATTATCTGCATCTACAAAATACCCTCGCAGAATAATTGGGCTAAGCCAGAAATGGTCTTGGTGGCTTGTGGAATTTATAATGTGACTGCTGACTCTTTACTACATGCTCAGAGAGTTCCACGCACAATCCCGGGTAACATTCCAAATGTTCCCTACATAGATAACCTTCTTGTCTCTAACTTTACGGTTAAAGAGAGTCAGCTTCAGGAGGTCGCATGGTCTGGGGGGCAGGTAACCGGGCTGTGACCGTTCAGTCTACGGCCCCTCCCAGCCAGCTTCTCCAGTCTCTGTGCTGTCTGCTCTTCCGGTGGGAGGCCATTCCCACCACTGAGCCCTGGCTCCATCAGTCTGGCTTTCCTGGCTTTGGGAAGTAGCAGCGCCAGCCTGGTACCACTTTCCCAGGCATTTGCTGCCATCTAGCGGGCTCGCTGTTGTTCACCACGCTCCACTAGAAGGCAGGCTCCGGAGTTTGCAGGAGAGCAATTGAGGAGCAGAGATGCATATCCCACGGGTTTCCCCGACTCCCGACTTTTGTAGAGTCCTGAGAGGGAGGATCTAGAAGATTTCTTGGAATCTCGAAGCGAAATTTAGAGACACCTTGGGACCCAGAGGGTCTTTGGTATACAGGAGACTTATTTGAGGTGTGTCCAACCTTTTAATATACTCTTGAGAACCTCCTAAACTGGTCATTAAAAACCCTTAGATTTGGAAAGATTCAAAGATGGTTCAGAGGACTGGGGATCAATTCCCGGCACCCACAAGGAAGCTAACATTGTCTGTAACTCCAAGATCTGACAACTCACATAGACATACCCCTCATATTTAAACCAGGCAGTGGTGCACGCCTTTAATCCCAGCACTCTGGAGGCAGAAGCAGGCAGATCTCTGTGAGTTCAAGGCCAGCCTGGTCTAAGGAGAGAGCCAGGATAGCCAGAACTACACAGAGAAACCCTGTCTCAAAACAAAACAAAACAAAAAACCAAAACACAACCTAACAAATCTCATATTTTAAGTAAGTGAACAGTTTTTGTTGGGCCACATTCCTATTTTCCACAGCCACGTGTGACCCCAGGGTTGGACACGCCTACGGGAGTGAGGTTGAGGACTGCTCTTGTATATTCCGGTCAGCCACAGTCTGCAGGGAGATTCCAGTTCTGGATCCCACTCGCAAGGGGGAGAAAAGAAGGGAGCGAGTACAGGAGGCTGGAGCGGGCTCCCGGAGCACCCCTCCCTACCCCACCAGGGGCATACTACCAGGAGTGGCCATGAGGTGGCAGCTTCCAGACGCCCAGGGGCAGGAGCGAACTCTGGGAAGAGATGCTGTTGCTGAGCTCAGTGCTGTTTCACGACTGCGTGGTGGGAGGTGGCTGGGAGTGAGTGGGCCCAAAGCGGGCTGCAGGCGGAGGCTGCCAGGCACTGCAGTACTCACTGATAGCAGTCAAACTGACAGCCAAGCATTTAGCTGTCAGTCATTTTAGCCAACCTGGTCAGCCAGTCTACTTAAACTGTAGTTAGTCCTTAGTCTAGTCAGCCTGTCAGCCAATCCTGTCTGCCAATCTGTTGATTAAGAGTCTAGTGTGTCTGGTGTGTCAGTCTGTCATTAGTTCAGTCAAGACATCATTGGCCACATTGTCTCTCCATTCGGCCCTCAGGTGGTATTTTGTTAGGTGGTCAGCTGGTGTCTTAGTCACTGTCTTATTGCTGTGAAGAGGACCATGACCAAGGCAACGAATAAAAGGAAGCATTTAGTTGGGGGCTTGCTTACAGTGTCACAGGTTTAGTCCACTGTCCATTATCATCATGGTGGGGAGCATGGAGGCTTGCGGGCAGTTGCTGGAGCAGTAGCTGAGAGTTACATCTTCATCTTCATCCTGATGATTAGAAGTGAGAGGGACACTGGGCCTGGCTTGGGCGTTTGAGACCTCAAAGCCACCCCAGTGATGCCCTTCCTCCAACAAGTCCACACCTCCTACTCCTTCCAATCCCATCAAAGACTTTCACTCCCTGCTGACTAATTCAAATGTCTGAGCCTGGGGGTGGGGGCATTCTTACTCAGACCACAGATGGCCAGCCATCAGGACCTTTGTAATGGGGCCATTGAGATGGTCCAGCAGGTAAACACTGCTGTGAAACCTGGTTACCTGAGTTTCATTTCTCAGCCCATGAGGTAGAAGGAAGGACACCATGGGCGCGCGCATACACACACACACACACACACACATGCACATGCATGCACACGTATGCACACACATGCACACATACATGCACTCACATGGGCACGTGCACAAAGGCATATACAGGCACACATGCGCACACGCGCGCGCGCGGGCATGCATGTACATACCTGTACATAAGACACATGGAATAAATAAAAAATGTAAAAAAAGGCATTTGTTATATGTGTCTCGGTGTGCTGGCCCTTCAAACCAGGGAGAGGAGTGTCCAGGTGCTGCTGACAGGAAGGATATATGAAACCAAGACCTTGGCTTTTCCAGATCAGAATCTTCTAGTCCTTTCAGGTGTGGTGGATGGTGATGCCAACGTGATCCCAAAGTGACATTTGGGGCAACTGAAATGCTATTGAAAGGGTGAGACCTACCGTGTCCCTGTCTGGACTGGGTGATGTTTCCAAGCTCAGCCTTTTACTCTGCAGTGGGAATCTGATCCATAAGAGGCTATGGATTTGGACTAAGATGTCATCCTTTTTATCATGCATTTGAATATAGTGGTGGCTCAGAGCCTGGCCTTCCCAGCAGGCAGTAAAGCCTGGGTCTAACATGAAGATAGAATTAGAAGGGTATTTTTGGGAAATTGTATTTATTTTCATTTTGTGTGTGGGTGTTTTGACTGCATGTATATATGTGCACCATGGATATGCAATGCATGTGGAGGCCAGAAGAGAGTCCTCTGGAACTGGGTTAGTGCTTTGTGAGCTGCATGTGTGTGCTGGGAAGTGAACATCTGCCCTCTGAAGGAGCAGCCAGTGCCCGTAACTGTGGAGCTGTCCCTCCAGTCCTGAAGACAATCTTTTTACATTTTTTTCTTTGCACTGATTCACCTCACTGAGTTTCTCTGTGAAACTCCTTCCACAGATTTGGACCCTGACGTTACCATGAATGTCCCTACTGTGGTATTTACTATGAGTTTCCACAAACTTTTTGTGTATTTCCGGAGGTGGAGGTGTGGTCTGCAATGAAACCATAGTTGGTTCCCACGGCCTGTAGGAGGCGCCGAGGGTGTGTGCTCTTGAGTACACCCTAGCTGCTTCCTGGGCCTCCGTAGTAGTGAGAGGCTTGCACTCCACGCTCTAAGACCTGCTTCTTATGTAGAAGGAAAAATTCCTAAGGATGCATCTAAGGATACTGTGGGACTCGGTCCAGTTATAGTGTAGAAACAGGAAACAATCCTTTTAAATTTTTTTTTTTAATATTGAAAATAGATTCTTCTTTCACACTAATACATTCTGACCAGAGTTTACCCTCCCCCACTTCTCCGAGTCCCCCCTCCCCCCAATCAAAAAGAGCAGGCCTGCAGAGACAACGATCAGACACTACAAAACAAAATACAACAGGACAAGTCAAAGACCCTCACACCGAAGCTGAACAAGGAAACCCAGCAAAGAGAAAGTCCCAAGAGTGGGCAAAGGAGGCAGAGATGTAACCCACTCCCACGGTCAGGAGTCCCACAAAAAACAGCAGGTACATAAGAACACCAGCGGACCTGGTGCAGACCCACGCAGGCCCTGTGCTTCAGCCTGTGAACCCGTATGCGCCCTGCTTAGTTGAGAACCCTGCTTTGTGAGCTGCCAGGGTTGAAGTGCCCAGCCCAGTGGGGCTGGGATGAAGGTGTGTCCATGTGCCCTAGGGACTGGGGACCCTCCATCAGCTTACCTGGGAGGCTCTTGGTACTCTTGTGGGGAAGAGAACTCTGGTGACCTGAGGAAGAGGGAGGGGTATGGGCGAGTTTCAGGTGTATGCTGGGACATTTCCTCATTCTATTCAAGTCCTGCTGTTTCTTCTTTTTTCTTCTTAAAGCCAGACACCCAACTCACTAAGCACAGGCTGTCTCAGTGGTCTAGCCAGGGTATAGCTCTTGGAACTCAGAGGCAACCAGGGCAGGGACGGATCACTTTCTTGGGCAGGGCCAGGAAGTACTGGGAATAGTTGGCTATTCATTCAACAAGTGTTTATTGACTGTCTTCCCCATGCCAGGTTTTATGTGCGTAGTTGATGGCTCTGTGTATGGAGTGCAGAGTCTAGAAGGAGTGCTAAGATGCAGGAAAAGGATGGGGGTCAGTCAAAGCCATGACTGTGACATGTGCTGTGAGGGTAGCAAAGAGGTTGCAGAGACGACAGAGAACGAAGCCGGACGACTGGGAAAGGCTCACCAGAAGGTAACACAACCTAAGAGCCGGAGGAGATGGGGCCAGTCCTGGGGTAGAAGGAATGTTTCTGAATTCATTCACTTATTCACCAATTCATATGTGACTATGAGCCTGCTAGATAAAGTTCTAGTTTCTAGCTAACCAGAGATCTGCAGTCCGAGGGAAACTCTTCCTGTTCTGGGGTCTATGTTCAAGTAGAATCAGACTGTTTCAGAGACTGGTGAATCCTTTAGAAATAAGAACAAGGTTGTGTATCAGAAAATGCCTATGGCTGAGGGTCAGTTTTGGATAAGATGTCGAAGATCCTAGCACACACAGTGCATCGGGTTCTATTTGCAGCACCAAAAATATGATGATTAGAGAATTAAAGATGACGTCTGCGGCTTGCTTTAGATTCTGCCATGTTGACTGTCGAGCAGGTGCAGTGTAAGAGTCAGAGCACCAGGGGGCAGTAATGGTCAGTAAACGATCTCTGAGGAGGACGCCAGGCTCCCTTCCAACCCTTGTCAGATCCCCCAGCCCCTCCCCCCCACCTTGTCAGAGCGATGCTGGGATACACTCCCTGGATTCTCCAACTCTTGGCTGACACAGGTGAAATTGAGAAAGAGGTAGGAAAGGCTTCAATGATAGCATTGAATGACCCAGGAAGCAGCTGGGTGCTATACTGCTGAACTTTCTCACCCTCTTTCTTATCACTTCTGGCTGATATCCTCTTACTGGGGGAACAGTTCCACCCTCTGGGCTGAGCGAGTACCAAACAGCAGGTGGTAGTCAAGACAAACAAGGCAATAAAGTTCATCAAGGTTAATTTATGTGAAATAAATGCGCAGTACCTCATTCTCATCCGTTAACATTCTAAACACCTTGTTCAAAAAGCCCTGGAGTGTTTTTAGCTGCCAGGAAAATTGTCATTAGGGAGATGCAGCAATGGTGACTAGGGGTATGGGTGAATTTAATACACACACACACACACACACACACACACACACACACACGCACACACACACGTCTGAGACAGGATTTCTCTGTGCAGCCTTGGCTTTGTAGACCAGGCTGTCCTTGAACTTACAGAGATTCACCTGCCTCTGCCTCCCAAATGCTGGGGTTAAAGGTGTGCACTGCCATTGCCTGGCAGGTCTTTCTACATATCCCTGGCTGTTCTGTAGCTCACTATATAGACTGGGTTGACCTCAAAGCCAGGGATCCATCTCCTGCCCCGAGTTCTGGGATTAAAAGTGTATGCCACCATGTCCAGGTCAGGCTGAATTCCCTTTATCATCTGTGCTCCACTGAGAACCCTTCTTGCTCCATTGGGTAGCTTATGGTACTACCCTCAAAGACTTTTATATAAGAAGATACTCATTTGGTATGAAGCCTCGTAAGAACCCAGAGAAGCATGTGGGGGGTATGTGTGACTTAGATCTGAGATACAGGTGATATAAAAGCAGAAAAACGGAACACCATTTTTCACTTTCAATGATTGTATCTTTTGGAGTGGGAAACTATTGTTTGTTTAATCAACTAAGTGATTTATTTTTGCGGTACTGGGGAACGCTTTGTGCATTCCAGGCAAGCCCCATACCCCATCCCACAAGTTTCTCCAAGTATTTCTTTTTAGAAGTCCAATTTATCGCTTCCTTAGGGCGGTCGCACAGGCAGCGGCTGCGTGAAGCCGGTTTCGGGCATCATATACTACAAGTTTAGCGGCTTCACGCAGAAGTTGGCCGGAGCTTGGGCCTCGGAAGCCTATAGTCCGCAGGGGTTAAAGCCAGCAGTTTCCGCAGAAGCACAGCCTATCATATTTGCCACACCGACTAAACTGACCTCCAGTGTGACAGCTTATGATTATGCTGGGAAGAACAAAGTTCCAGAGCTGCAGAAATTCTTCCAGGCTGACGGGGTGCCCATCCACCTGAAACGAGGCCTTCCCGACCAAATGCTTTACCGGACCACCATGGCGCTGACTGTGGGAGGGACCATCTACTGCCTGATTGCCCTCTACATGGCTTCCCAGCCCAAAAATAAATGAATTAGCCTGTGGAAAAATAAAAAAATAAAAGAGAAGTCCAATTTATCTGTATTTTCTCTGGCTGTGTCTTCGTTTCTTTCCTATTGCGGTAATAAAGTACCATGGCCATGGAAGCTTATAGAAGAAAGAGTCTGTTTGGAGTTATGGGTTCAGAGAGAAGAGTCCATCTCAGCAGGGAGACATGGTAGCAAGTGGCAGGCAGCAAGTCAGCAAGCAGGGGCTGAGGGCTCACATCTTGAGCTACAAGTTGGAAACAGAGAGCAAACTTGAAATGGCACCGGCCTTTAAACTCTCAAAGGCCACCTTTGATCTACTTAGTTAATTTTTGCAAAAGATGTGAGGTAGGAGTCTAGCTTCATTCTTTTGTGACTGGCTGTCTAACTGCCCAATAGTGTTTGTTAAGTTGTCTTGGAACCTTGTTTAAAATCTACATTCTGCTGTACGCACAGATCAGCCTCCTGCAGCAGATGGGCACAAACACAGAGGCCCATACTAGGACAGTGTGCAGAGAGTGAGAGCCATGGACCACTCAACCCTAAATGGGATGTCTCCATCAAACTCCTCCTTTCAGGGCCCAGAGAACTTTTGTAAGAGGAGCAGTGGGGTTGGAGGACACCGAGGAAACAAGGCCTTCTAGACACAACGGGACTGATGCACAGAGGAACTCACAGCACGCACAGGGTTTGCACAGGTCTAAGCCAGATGTGGTCCCAGTACCGAGAGGGAAGTGGACATCAGCCCCCGTCCCTACCCAGAAACTATCTCCAATTGACCACCACTCACCAAAGAAAAATTAGTATTTTTCCAGTGGAGTCTCACTGGATATACAAACCACATTTAAGGGTAGACCCCATGCCTGGCAGTAGATAGATGGTCAACTCTAACGAACGCAATAAACTCAATGGTAGTTTTGTAGGGTCTTTGTCTACTATTGCTGTGTCTGGGCGTTTTTACCTTATTTTCTTTTGCTTTAATGGTATGGTGTCTGATTCTGTGTTTTTATGGGTTCTGCCTCTGTCTCTCTGTGCACACTCTGTGTATGTGCTTTCCATACCTTTTTTCTTTTTGTTGTTCTATCCTGGTTTATTTTTGTTTGTTTGTTTTTAATTTGCCTGTTTTTTTCCCCTCTAAAGTTAGAGAGAGAGGAGGCATGGGGTTGGGTGGGTAGGAAGGTGGAAAGGATCTGGGAGGAGACAAGATTAATGACTACCCTAATTGTCATCACAGAGCCTTCATCCAGTAACTGATGGAAGCAGATGCAGAGATCCGCAGCCAAGCACTGGGCTGAGCTCTGGGAGTCCTATTGAAGAGAGGGAGGATGGATCGTGCGAGATGGGGATGGGTGGGGTGGCATGATCATGATGGGAAAATGCACAGAGACAGTCGGCCTGGCTGTGAGAGCTCACAGACTCTGGACCAACAGCTAGGGAGCCTGCGTGGAACTGATGTAGCCCCTCTGCATGTGTGTGACAGTTGTGTAGCTTGGTCATATGAGGTGCCATGTGGGGTCCTGGCCCACAGTAGGTCAGCAGTGTTTGGGGGACATCAGTCAGAGGCCTTCTCTTTTTTTTTATTCTATTGGTATTATATTTTATCTCAATTTTAGATGTAATTGTTTACCAGTAACATGCACCTTTTTATATTTAACATTTTAGAATCCATTTTAGAGGCCTTTTCTGCTGCACCAGTGCCCTGGTCAGCTGGTGAATAATTGACTTCACAAACTCACCAAGGAGCCATTTAGTGAGGTCACGGGGAGGTCAGAGCTAAGGAGCTACTGCTCCCGCCCATTTCCCGCTCTGACACCTCTGAAGCCTGTGGATTCACTAGAGAGAGAGACACAGAGAGAGAGAGACAGAGACAGACACACACACACACACACAGAGTTGGCACACAGGGCTGTGGTGAAGGCCTGCCTCTACTCAGTGGCTGTGACTGACTTTATTAGGAAAGGATGGAGTCTGTGGAGAAGACAATGATTGTGCAGCATGACTTACATGGCCCTGGAAGCCACGGCTTTATTGTATGCTTTCTTTCTTTTTGTTTTTAAAGCAAGATCCACACAAAAAGTTAAGTACTTTTTTTTTAATGTATGAGTGCTCTGTCTGCATGTAAGCCTACAGATCCCATCATAGATGGTTGTGAGCCACTGTGAGGAATTGAACTGAGGTCCTCTGGAAGAGCAGCCAGTGCTCTTGACCACTGAGCCATCTCTCCAGCCCCCACCATCGCAGTGCTGTTGATGTAGAGTCATCTCTCCCGCCTGGTATGGGATGCTTTTCCCAAGCTAGAAATTGAATCCAAGGCCTTCCCTTCCCCATGCTAGATAAGTGTTCTACCACCGAACCATATCTTCAGATTTCTCCTTTTTTGTTGTTTTTTGTTTTTGTTTTTCGAGGCAGGGTGTCACTGTGTAGCCCTGGCTGTCCTGAGCTCACTCTGTAGACCAGGTTGGCCTCAAACTCAGAGCTCCGCCTGCCTCTGCCTCCTGAGTGCCAGGTTAAAGGTGTGCGCCACCCCCTCCTATCTTTAGTCCTCTCTTTTTGAAAACACTTGTTTACACATTTACTTGGTTTACGTGTGTGGGTGGGCTCATGTTACAACATGTGTGTGGGGGGGTCAGAGGACAACTTTCAGGCAGTTTTTCTTTCTTTCTACCATGTGGGTTCTGGGGGTTAAACTTGTTGTTAGTGTCTTTTGGCTGTTGAACTATTTCACTGGCTCTTTAAACATTTGTTTTAAATTAAACTCTGGCAAGTTTTATTTCAAGAATTTTGTATGGTCTGCTTATCTACTTCTTTTTTTCCCCTCCTTTTTAAACCTACAGCACCTAGTATTCCCAGGCAGTTTCCCATCCAGTACTAACCAGACCCGACCTTGCTTAGCTTCTGAGATGAGAACAGATTGGGTGTGTTCAGGGAGGTATGCTGTTAGACTATTTATCTATTGCCTTAAACATTTATTTATTTATTTATTATTTTCTTGTGTCTGTGTGTGTCTGCAAGGGTTTATGCACAACGTGTGTATTTAAGTACTTGGGGAAGCCATAAGAAGATATTAGATTCCCTGGAACTGGAGTGACAGGTGACCGTAAGCCACCATGTGGGCCTAGGAACTGAACCTGGGTCCTCTGCTAGAGTAACAAGTGCTCGGAACTGCTGAGACACCGTTCCAGCCCTCTTATGGCTTATTTTTCATGGCATGCTTCTAGGATTTCATCCAAATCATCTACATCAGTGAATCCAGACATTGTGCTTCGTGTCTAATTGAATCTTATAGCCATTGCCTTAGCTGCTTTCCACTGCCGGGATAAAACACCGAGGCCACAGACAACTTGGGCAAGAAAGGGTTTATTTTACCTTATAATTCTCAGGTCACACTCCATTGCTGACAGAAGTCAGGACAGGAACTCAGACAGGGCAGTGACCTGGAGGCTGGGGCTGACGCAGAGGCCGTGGAGGGAGGGATAGCACCACTGACTGACGGGCTTGATGAGCCTACATTTTTGTGTTACCGACAGCCCACGGGTGGTGCTGCTCTGTTCGCCGTGAACCGGGCCCTCCCACAGCAATCATGGACCAAGCAAATGCCCTACAGCCTTGCTCACAGGTCGAGCTGATGGGGGCAACTTCTCAATTGAAGTTCTCTCTTCTAAGATGACCTTAGCTGGTGTCAAGTTTATATAAACCAGCCAGTGCATTCACCGTGGAGCTGGACATCAATTTCAGCCAACCTGGGGAGGAAGTCTTTTTAAACTGTCCCTTTTTCTCTATCTCTCCACCCATTTTTGAGACAGTCTCACTGTGTAACCCAAGCCATCCTTAAACACAATTATCCGATCATCCTCCAATCCCAAAGTTCTGGAGTTTCGGGTATGTCACTACATCCAGCTATTTTAGACTTCTCCAGAGCGGGACAGTGGCAGTGAGGGTGACTGGCTTCGCCTTGCTTTGTCTGGTTGTCTTTGGAGCCAGCTTGTGCTTCAGCATGTACGCGTCACAAGTTGGAGCCTAGAGTTGGTTAGCTATAGTGGCTTGCCATTTTCTTATGGTCATTGTGTCACTGCCTGGGATAAAGGATGGTCTTCAACCATGAATGGCCCCTACGATGGCTGGAGAGCAAGAGAAACCCTGGACCCTTTTTCTTCTTCAGATAGGCCCTCACTCTGTTCCCTGGTTGGCCTGGGACCCACTACATAGGGCAGACTGGGTCTTTTGATGTATGCCCATAGCATCTACATGACAACCTTGCTCTGAGGGACTTCTCCAAGGACTCTGAGGAGCAGTTAGACTTTGAGTTAAATATGCAGTCTAAGTGCTTTTGTATATGCCTCATGGGTCCCAGGAAGCCCTTTCTACTTGGCTTCACTCTGAATGGAGAGGGTGGTGAGACACACTACTAAACACACTGTTCCCAAGGGTAACAAGTGGAAGTGCTCCCCATGAAGACCAGGTGCTCCCGGGACAGAGTCCTATTGCTTGCTTGTCTACAGCTTATCCTTTGCAGCCCCTGTCTACATTGGCAATGCTGGATTCTCTCTGCCTCCTATTTGGTTCCAAATATCTTGGGTTCCTTGACCTCCAAGATTTCTAGACTCTCCCTCTTGGTACCTTGTTGATGGGGTTGGTGGGTTCTCCAGCATGCATGTCCCTCCTGTGTGGCCCAGCTGGAGAGGCGGGCAGGAGACATGCTGCCTGGTTTCTTCTAGGCTATGGGTGTTAGGGTGGCAGATGTAACGTCTATTTCAGTTCTCATGGGGAATGGTGGGACAGTCTCCAGAGGACCCTGCAGCCAGAGAAAGGGAAGGTTGTTCTGCCAACCTGTGGGGCAGGAGTGTAACTGTGGTAACAGCCTTCATGTTAGGAATGAGGTACCAAGCTTTGCTCTGGTGTGTGCTGGGGAGGGGGTTCTCTTTTCTCCAGCCTCATACTCACTTAGCCCGCATAGCGCATGCATAAGAGTGTTGGCTATGCGAGGCGCTCTGCTGGGCCCAGAGCCCGAAAGGCCCCTGCACCGGCA